AGACTCACTGGATTACAGCTCAGGGTTCATTGAGAGACCCTGACTTAGTGGAGAGCAATTGAGGGGGACACAAACCTCTGGCCTACACACACACACACACACACACACACACACACACACACACACACACACACACGGGTCAGGGAGGACAAAGGGGCTTTAAACAAAAACATTGAAAAACAAGGACTTGAGTCCTCGTCCTATGAAAACAGATTGCTTGAAAGTTCCTCATACTTGTGTGCACTGGGGTCCAGAAGGAGCAAAGCCCGAGCCTCCCCCTGTCTGTTCAGTTTAATCTGAGGAGACACATTGACACTGGGTAAGGGGGCGGGGTGGCTGTTGGCGTCTAGAGAGGGAGGGTCAAACAGGGCTGCATTTCCCCGTGCTGTCCATCCCTCTGCCACCCAGGCTCTCCTCCAGTGACACCACAGACCCGCTCACTTCTGTGCAGCTGATGCCCTGTCCAGGCGGATATTGTCCCAGCTGACAGTGAGCGTTCTTGCCAAATGCCAGGGCCATGGTCACATCTGCTTGTCTTTCTCTGCAGCTTGTCCCAGGCTGCTTGGGAACACATTGTATCCAGGGGGCAGCTTTCGCAAGGCCTGATGCTCTGAAAAGACTCTAAACACGTGCCGTGGAGAGACAAGCTCCCGTTGTCTTGGCTTTACTGTTATTGTGTTTGACGTGGCCTGCCTCGGTGCTGTCAGCCCCTGTCAGAGCCACGCTGTCCGGCAAGGTGCTTCTCCGTAGGCTTTGTCGTCGCTCTGTGTGATTACTTTTTCTTTCCTCCAGATGATAAGATGTCCCCTCTCCTACAGTCACCCCGTCTGAAAGGCTTGCTTGCAGGAAACAATGGAGATAATTCAGGCGCAGTCTGTTTAAGCACCAAAACCAAACTAAGAGGCTTCTGGGTTCTGACTTTCTTATGTTTAATAAAATACCTCATGGGAAGCCTCATTTCCAGTCATCCTCAACAGAGAAATCCATCCAAGCAGATGGATTTCTTTGTCTTTTCCACTTAGAATGACAGGAGAGTCAAGACTGCAGCCTAGACTCATCCCGGGACCCCAGGTGCTGACTCAGGGCGCTGAGCAAAGCCTTGAGCCACCCTCCATCTCCTCCCTCTCTTCTCTTCACAGGCAACCTCTGTAGCTAACATGGTGCCCTCCCACCCCCAAAGAATCGAGCTCTCAGTGCTATGCTTTGCAAAGACAGATGGCCAAGTAGACTGAAGACACGGGCTGCCTTTGAAACACTCATTGATTTTAAATTAAAATCGTAACTACTGTGTTAACAGACCTAGCTGTTCATAGCTGCCCCTCTCCCCGTGTCTGAACTGAGGTGGCAGAGGGGCCAGCCTGTGCTCTTGCTGATCAGCAGCCCAGATCTCCCCACATATAGGGCCCTCATTTTCTGTTGAACTTTCTAGAGTCCATGGGCTTTTTCCTTCTGCTTCAGATCTCAGGTCAATGAGTCCATTGCCTCTGACTGTGGTGTCCATACATGGTTATTTCCCCTGTTATGTGCCTGTACTGGGTGGGCTGGAGAATTGGATGAAGATGGTACTGTTTGCTCGGTAAACATTCCCAAGCGTTTTAGAAGAGGGTGGTGTTCTTGGAGTCTGTCTTCCACAGTTTTGTAAGTGGGCCTTACTAATAAATTTTGAATAGTGTGAGAAATGAAGTTGTAAAGACAAAATGGACTTGGGAGTACTTTCCAAGCATCTAAATACTTGAGTTATGAACACTTAAATACTTGAGTTATAATGCAAGAACCGTGTTGGGTAGAAGTCAGGGTAGACAGGTACAATGTTTTCTGTACATGGCTGAAGAACTGAGTTAATATTCTGAACACCCACATTAGAAGTCAGGTATGATGTCTCAGGTCTGTAGCCCCTGTGCCTGGAGAGGAAGGCAGATTCTCAGTCCTCAGTGGCCCCTGGTGTAGCTGAAACATTAAACACCAGGCTTCCTGAGAGGCCTTGTCTCAAAGGATAAAGTGGAGAGTGATAGTAACACCAGACGTTGACTTCTAGCTTCCTCACACATGCACAGGCAAATATAGACAGAGAGAGAGAGAGAGTGAGAGAGAGAGAGAGAGAGAGAGAGAGAGAGAGAGCATTTCAAGCATTTTCTAGCTTTGCCAGTGGTCTCTTCATTTATATTTTTAGGTCCTCCTGTACCATAGCTCAGTTGTCTGGTGTAGACTCTAGAGAAGGTAAATATGATCCTAGGCTTTGGG